GAAAGAGGAATGAGTTGTGTGTGTCGTAGCCTGCTTGAGTATTGGACTCAGGCTCTCAATGAAAGCACCAATGACGGTAATAATGTTACCGAAAATATAATATTAGAATAACGTTACGTGAAAGAGAGAGTAACAATAGTTTTATTGCTTTTGTCTCAGTATAGAAAATACAGTGTGTCCCCTGCTCAGCTGAGGGAAGTTCTATTTATGCTAGGTCCTAACGGTAACAACATGAAGAGACATCCTTGGGGAGCTGAGCTAAGGGCAAGAATATCAAGAGTCATGAATGAGGCGTTGAGGCTTTAACTCTCTCTCATCAATGGTGGCATCAAAGGTGGCTTCAATGACAATAAAGGTGACACCTATTGGAATTCTAACCGTTTGAGTTCTGCCCGTTGGGTTCCCATGTGATGCTGAGTCAGATGCTCATTTGTGATCCGGGTCGGGTGCCAGCCATATTATCCTGTCATATATATATAACATTCAGTATATTATTATTATTATTATTATTATTATTATTATTATTATTATTATTATTATTATTATTATTATTATTATTATTATTATTATTATGTATAAGGGTATTTATGTCTTTAAAATCCATTCAATTTCTATTCCTTTAACCAACCAAAACACTGGAATACAATTACTAAAATCTATTTCTAGCGAACCAAAGAATAGAATACAATTCCTATTCTATTCTTTATTTATTCCATTCGCTATGGAATAACATTCCTATTACCTCCAAATTCATTCGGTGAACCAAACATGTTGTAAGAACATCACCAATAAATGTAATTTTTTAGAAATTTTTACCATACGAATAGGAAAGAGAAGATGAGATGGGAGAAAAAAAATCAAAATGTGGGAAAAAAAAATAAAGATTTACGCATGCACGCGTTCGACTAGGCGCAGGAGTTGCGTCTTGCGCAAGGTAGACTTCCTTATCTTCTTTTTTTGGTGGGGCCTACAAAATTGGCAAAAACCTTGGTCGAAGACCAAGGTTTTTTTTTTTTTTTTTTTTTTTTTTACACTTCAGCATGTGTTCCTCAAAAGACACACCAAAAATTACTGATGAGGATGCTCTAAGAGCATGAATATCAGTGGATATTTGAGAGATATTTATGACAAATTGGAGAGAGAAGATAAGTGCAAGAAGATTAAAGATCATCTGCAAGGTATTTATTTTTTAAGATATTTAAGACCCACTTTTTAAGATATTTGAGACCCACAGCAAAGCTTCTCCAGTTGTGATAGCTAAGCGTGGCTGTCATACTTGCGTCTAGCGAGCGTGTCAGTGATTTTTATTTTTTATTTTTTATTTTTAAACTTTTTAATCAATTTTGTTTTGTTTTTGTTTTTTTTTTTTGTTTATTTGTTTTTTTTTTTTTTTTTGTTTGTTTGTTTTTCCTCTGTCTATATTCTTTGTCCTAAACACATTTAGAAAACTTTCAAAAATTACAAAATATCTCAACCATTGTGAATGCTCTAAAGGCATGATCTTGTGAACTTATATTAGTCTAGCTTTGCTAGACACTTAAAAGTACAAAAAATGAAAAGGAGACAGACAAAGAAGATAAGGCTACGTGCTCAGTTCTAAATTGTAAAAACAGTAACAGAGTCCATAGCCATTTATTCTCTGTCCAGTTGGAAAAATTGGAATGCACAGACAGATAATTCTGTAGAGTTAAAGAGAGAGGGGGAGAGAGAGATGAAGAGTATTGTGCAGGTTCCCTACGAAGCCACTGTGCGAGTAATGCTGGCTACACTGGAGCGTAATCTCCTGCCGGACGCCGTCATACGCCGCCTCACCCGCCTGCTCTTAGCCGCCCGCCTCCGCTCCGCCTACAAACCCTCCGCCGAACTCCAACTCTGCGACCTCCTTCACTTCGTGCACTGTATATGCTCTCTATACCATTCCCACACTTTATAGCTTTACACCGCTTTTGGAATTTGTGTTTTTTTTTTCTTTTTTTTTATTTTTTTATTTTTTTATTTTTGGGATTGAGGGGGAGGGGGGGGGGGGGGGTCAGGGGTGGATTGACAATTGACATGAATCTGCTGCGTGAGAATTAGAGCAAACAATACACTTCTATAATTTTTTATTAAAAAAAATTTATACTTTTATGGATTTTGTAAGAAACTAAGAATATATAAAAAATTAATTTTAAAATTTATAAAAAGATTAATATTCTAAAGTAAATACATATTTACAATATTTTTGGGTTTATATTAATTCTTATAAATTGTTTTATTAAAAATAAGTTATAAAGATTTCAATTCAATAAACCGAAAGTTGAGGTAAAGTCGGTAGAAAGACACATGAAAAAGAGAGTATAGAAAAAGAAAGTAACTAGTTTAGAAGTCACTTAAATTTAGAAATTGAGGTTTAAAAACTTGTTAAAAGTATAAATTAAATTCCATCCAATATTTAAAAACTCTTCAATTTAAATATTTTACAAAAACTCTGATTGACATTTGATTTGTGTATTCAATTCTTTTGAGTGTAATGATTGGCATTAACTTGTATTCTCATGAATGCCCTTAGGGTTGGGGTTCAACATTTTGGAAGAATGAATGGAATTTGGCATTTATATAAATTAGAATAGAAAATTCAGGTGGAAAATAATGGAGTGAGACAGCCTAAAATATGAAGAGAAATGATTGGTGATAATGAATAATGTGATGCCACTTGGTATCATTAGTGTTGTTGTATATGAAGTTGAAATCAGATTTGTTGGAATAATTATTAGTTAATGTAGAAATCTGGGAATTGAAGTATTGGTTGTTGAATGAAATTGTTGTGCATGATGGGTGTCTTAATTAGATCAATCTCCAAATTGCATTGCAGCTTTGAAAGAGATGCCAATAGCCATCATGACTGAAAAGCCAAAGTCTCAGCATTATGAACTACCTACTTCCTTTTTCAAGCTTGTTCTTGGAAAGCAGTTTAAGTATAGGTAAACAGGGCTGCTGTATGTACACATGAGATTTCATCCTTTTAATTTATTCAGCAATCAATGTTGGGTGTCGGCCGAGTTCAGCCCCTGCTCGATTCGAAACGTGGGGTTGTGGCTTACCATGGAGGGATGTGGTTAAATGGTTAATGTCCACCTACTTATCACCAATTGGTTTTAAGTAGGATATGACAACCAGATAATCAAAGAACTCTGTAGTTAAGCATGGTATAACTTCTTTATAGACCAAGACTGGCAGTGATTTGTGTGTTATAAAATTTGATTTGCAGCTGCTGTTTCTTCCCCGACCAGTACAGCACCTTAGAGGATGCTGAAAAGGCGATGCTAGAGTTGTACTGTGAGAGGTCACAGATAAAAGATGGTGACACTGTCCTGGATGTTGGTTGTGGGTGGGGTTCGCTTTCCCTCTACATTGCAAACAAATATAGTAACTGCAAAGTTACAGGTATTTGCAACTCGGTGACCCAAAAGGAACATATAGAACAACAATGCAGGTAGGTCATTCTATTTCCGTTCGAAATTTAAATGTTTAGTGCCAAGCCTACCTGTGTGCATTACAATATTGAATGGGATTTGTGTGTAGGGACCTTCAGCTGGAGAACGTGGACATCATTGTTGCTGATATTTCCACGTTTGATATGGAAGCGTCCTATGACCGAATATTTTCCATTGAAATGTTTGAGGTATCTAATCTTAGGATGATTTGTATAGGAGACAGAAATTCAAAGCTGAAATTGTGCCTCATTTTGTAGCATATGAAGAACTATGGACAACTCCTTAAGAAGATATCCAAATGGATGAAGCCAGACAGCTTCCTTTTTGTACATTATTTCTGCCATAAGACATTTGCTTACCACTTTGAGGTGTCCTAACAATCTACACTCTTCACAACTCCATATTTAAATTAAGGCTCTACCCCAACTGGAGATTATGGTTTTGTGTGTGTATTGTTTTGTAGGATATCAATGATGATGATTGGATTACCAGATACTTCTTCAGTGGAGGTACAATGCCTTCAGCAAATCTGCTCCTTTATTTTCAGGTAATATAAGCTTCTTTTTTTTTTTTTTGATGACAAGGGAAACCCTACCCATTCGAGTGTGGGTAAATCCCGCATTGTGACCCTAGCCGGCAAACAACTACAAGTAAGTAAATCAGCTTAGGTTACCCATAGCTGACCGGTTCAAACCAAAGGGGCAAGAATTCAAACTTGTGACTTTGTGGTTACAATTATGGATCTCTTGCCTGCGTAGCCGGCAAAAGACCACAAGTAAATCAGTCTAGGTTACCCATAGCTGACCGGTTCAAACCAAAGGGGCAAGGATTCAAACTTGTGACCTTGTGGCCATTAGAGTGTGAGTAAACCCTGCTTTGTGAACTTAGCCGGCAAAAGACCACAAGGAAGTAAATCAGCCTAGGTTACCCATAGCTGACCGGCTCAAACCAAAGGTAATATAAACTTGTTCATTTCATGGAAGCATTGGCATGAGAATGGCTGCTCGCCTTCTTTCAATTATTGATGTTTTCCTTGCAGGATGACGTTTCTGTCATTGACCACTGGCTTGTGAATGGAAAACATTATGCGCGGACAAGGTACATTAGGACAAATATTAACTCAGAAAGAATTCGTAAATGTACAAGTTATTAAATTTAACCCACGGGGGGTGTTTGCACTTGCAGTGAGGAGTGGCTTAAGAGAATGGATGAAAACATCAAGTCTGTAAAGCCAATTATGGAATCAACTTATGGAAAGGACTCTGCTCTTAAATGGACTGTCTATTGGAGAACATTTTTCATAGCTGTTGCTGAACTGTTTGGGTACAACAATGGAGAAGAATGGATGGTTGCTCATTTTCTCTTCAAGAAGAAATGATTATTTGATTTTATTTTCGATTTTTCGTGTAAGATGCAAGATTTCAACAACCACCAAAACACAGTTGTCTTGTATAAGATGCCCAGAAATCATCTGACTTGATAATAAACACACTTGTCTTGTATCAATCACCACAAAGATAGATAGATAGAGTCAATGCATTTCCATTTACTAAATGAAGGGCATAACATTCCAAAGCAATACGAGGTAAACACCTCCCCGACGCCTTTTAACTCGGAGGCATAATAACCGTTTATATGTAAATTGCTCCCCCAAAGTGGTACATTTACGAATGGCTTTATATTTCGATCTACTACTCCGAGTAGCTAAATGTAGAAGAAAAAAATACGTACAGGAAAGAGCATACCTACAGAATGTTAACTACGTGAAGCCATCATCATCATCATCATCCCGGGTGAAAAACAGCAGGGGCAGACTGTGTGAAGTTTATAGTGCAAACCTAGAAATGAAACGTAACAGCTGAAGGATAGATAAAAGGCTATGGTCAGGTTTTGTTCTTAACCTTTCGTTGAGCTTTCAAGTCCACCACAATCACGGTTATGTTGTCCTTGCTGCCCTTTTGGAGAGCTCGGTTTGATAGGTACTCAGCTGCTGATTGAGCTGCAGGATCGGTTCCTTCACCTCTCTCCGAGGGGAGAGTCATACCGTACTTTCTATGCCATTGGAGTATGCGCTTACGTGCCAAGTCGCAAACTTCTTCATTCGTCATTACATCCCATAAACCATCACTGGCCAGAATCAGGCAGTCATCATCTTTAGTGCGAGGAATAAACATCACTTCCGGATCAGGAATAATCCAAGGTTTCAAATATCTATCTCCTGTAATCAATAACAAAAAAATCACCTTTCATTACAACTCTTTACAACAAAGGAACCATTCTAAACAAGTGTATATGTGTGTGTGTGTGTATTCAGGATCATATGAGAATCCTTCCTTAGGTGAGAATGTGCGAACAAAATGAAGGCACCGCAAATACACCAAAAATGCACTGCAAATACTCTATGAATGCACCGCAAATAGATACATACCTATGGACCTTGACATTGCAAGAACGCCAAAGACACGATGTCCATTCCACTGTATTACTTTCCCGCCAGCTGCTTCAATCCTTGCATATTCATCCTCTCGGTTTGGCTACATAGTGAAAGGAAATCAACTACTATAATGTCACACGAATAAGTATGTAATTAGTTTTTCTTACTTTATGATCCACCGATAATGCCATGGGTTCTTTCCCCCGACAGAGAACAGCTCTTGAATCACCGCAGTTTGCCACAATTATGTGAGACGAACAAACAATGGCTACAACAGCAGTAGTGCCCACAGTTTCTGGGGCAACGGGTTCATGCCCACCTTGCCCTCCAACTTCAGCATCCACCTTCAGAAAACAATTGCTGAATGCCCTTGTCCATTGCTCTTGGCAATTATGCTTTGCATTTTCATCGTTTAGTTCACCCATAACAATTTCCAGCTCTTCAGCTAATGCAGCGTGAATTCGATCACGACAATAATTTGCAACCTGAAAAATAATAATCAAACTTGTGTCAAATAATGTGTAAGTGCATGAGAGAGAAAGAGAGAGAGAGAGATGAACCTGAGAGCCTCCATGACCATCATAGACTCCAAATAAATGAGCAGTCAAATGACTTAAACAACGCCGAGTAATTCCATCAAGAACACGATCACCAATTAGCATCTCTATGGGAATTTTAAGGAATCTTGGTACTGTTGCAAACGCATCTTCCATTTCTGGTCGCCTTCCACACACAGAGGTAGATCCCCATAGCGGCACATAATCCACTTCAAAAACACTGCGACCCACTTTATCCAAAGGCAGCTCAACTACTGCACATGATTTCGAACTCCCTTCTGCAGCTGAACCCACAATCTTCGAGACGAGTTCAATACTGCAGATGTTCCTCTCCACATCTATAAAATTCTGTCCTTCTATCTCAGACGCTATCTCGGCCAACAAATCATCGTTGCACACGCTACTAGAATCACTCACCACCGAGAGGGAACAGGAGCTATCGAGAATCGTATCACCCTCCAGCGATAAGTAATCGTCGTCCTCACTTTCCCGGGCAATACAGTTGCTTTCATTCTCAGATGTCATAGCCCCTTCGCTCCGATTCTCTTCAGGAATCGTCGAAACCGTGATGCTAAGGTCACTCTCGGAATCACCACAGTTGGAGTCGTCATTGCCAGCAGGAAGCTGATCAGAAGTTTTAGCCTCGTTATCATCAGAAAATAAGCTTGGACTTGGAGTGTCACCCATCTCCTTTAGCCTAGTGACATCCATATGAGCTCCCGCAATTTGGTTATCACAGATGAAGTTACCTAACCTAAATGGCACCACAACCGCCTGATACATCTCGTCCATGGAAATCGCTATCTAGGGTGCAATAAAAGTTACCATCCAGCCCCTCTGGAACCACACAACCTGTCATTGTTAAGCTAATTCACCCTCTCCACCTCCCTTAATTATCAATAAAACATGAACCAATGGCTTCCACAGACCATTCTCCATACTAAGGAGATCTGTTTTCTAGGTAAATCAACAAACTCTCCAAATCACGTTTTACACTGCTGCAGTCTCAATCAACAAGATGCTTAAAATGGGAATTGGTAGTCAGATCTGGTAAAACCAAAACAAGTTAACACCAACAACCAATTGTGGGAAAAAAATATACATAAAAGTCAGACATATCTGACCCTCATTTATATCTTCTCTGGACCCTTCCTTATCCACAATCAAATACACACCCCAAAATCTTCTACTCAATTACTCCAAGAACATAAATTCAGAAATCATGCACAAGAAAGACAAGGAAAAAAGGCAAAAAAGGGGTCATGTGAAAGAAGCCTGGGAGGAAGGCACAGCCCAACCAAGTGCAAAGAATCACAAGAAAACTTTGAGAAAGAGGGTACCCTTTTTTCCCATAAAACTTGACTATCCTAGATCAGAGGCAACCCATTTCAACCCTTTCTTGAAATTCGCAGTTTTTTTTCTTTTTCTTTTTCTTTCTTAAACTCCCTTTCAACAATTTCTTGCCCCAACAGAAAACTACAAAAATAAACTATATAATAATGAGATGAAATACAAGAAACAGGGTTGAAAGAGACAGTACCCAATCTTTGTTTTTCAAGATTTGTAGAATGGAATCACTGCTAATACCCCCAGTTCCTCTCTCTCTCTCCCTCTTTCTCTCTCATCTTCAAGTCTATCTGCTAGATGAGAAGAAGAGATGCATCCAAGAATCAAGAATTGTGGGATGCTCACTAATTGGAAAATAACAGTTCAGTCGTCAATCGTCAGTGTGATCTCTACAACTCTACAAGACTTTATTTTTTATTTAAAAAAAAAAAAACAAACAAAACATAAAATTAATAATAATAATAATAATAATAATAATAATAATAATTATTATTATTATTATTATTTAATTTTCTGTTTTGCTTGAGAAGCCCTGGAAGAGCAACAATCTGAATTGATTGGAGAAGAAGGATAGTACTACCGTATAATTTATGGAGTTACAAATATCAATTATATCTTTTCTTCTTCTTCTTCTTCTTTTTTTTTTCCTTAAAAAAAAAAAAAAAGTAACTGTGTTTCACACGTGAGTGTGTCACCACCACAAGATTTTACTGCACTCACTAATACAAAGTACGTCGTACCAAAAAATACATGTAAAACTTTAATTTTTTTAATGGTATTTTGTATTTTAAGATTATATTAATAGTTCATTTACAAAGTAGTTTAAACTATTTAACTTTAACTAACTCAAGTTCTTATAAAGTATATATTTACTGAATAAATTGATAAATTTTTTTAATGACAAGAAAAATCTGCAATTATTATTCGGAGTTGAATGCGTAAAGTCCATCTTGTGACCGACCCAATTTAAATTGTACATAGCTTCCTAGCTTAAACCAATAAGAATAATAATGCCGTAATACAACTACTTTTACTTTTAGTTATCGATTGTTAATTTAATCGAATCTTTTCTATGCGCGATGCACAAACACACATGCCTAATATTTATATTTTTAAAAATAAGTAACAAATCCTTGATAATTAAAATCTACATGAAATCAAATTTATTTATTATATATTAATCCAATATATAATGTTTACAAATATTATTATCATTAAAGAATATAAAAAAATAAAATTACGGTAGATACATGTGCATGGTAATAATAATAGAAATAATTGAAAGGAATAAGGTTCAAATTGGCCACTGAACGTAACCTGAAAATGCAATTAAGCCACTGAACGAACAAAAAGTGCAATTAGGCCACTGAACACTTAAAAAACGTGCAATTAGGCCACTGAACTCTCCAAACGTATGCAATTTCACCGGATAGCAGGTTACCATCAATTTTAACAGGTTACCTGCTTACGTGGCAGCTGAGGTGGCATTTTTAATAATTTTTAAATAATTTTTAATAATTAATTTTAATAATAAATTTTATAAAAAATTGAAAAAAAATTAAATAAAAAATAAAATAAAGTCGTTTTTATTTTTTAAATAAAAATTTATTATTAAAATTTATTAAAAATGATTTAAAATTTATTAAAAATGCCAACTCAGCTGCCACGTAAGCAGATAACCTGCTAAAATTGAGGGTAACCTGCTATCAGGTGAAATTGCACATTTTTGGAGTGTTCAGTGGCCTAATTGCACCTTTTTTTTTTTTTTTTTTTTTTTTTTTTTCGTTCAGTGGCCTAATTGCATTTTCAGGTTACGTTCAGTGGCCAATTTGAACCTTATTCCTAATAGAAAATATAACGGAAGTTATAACACTAGGATTATTTTTGTCTAAAAAAATATATAATACAACTCTAAAAGCACAATGTACAAAATGATTATCACTAAAAACATGGACATAAATTAATGATATAATTTTGATTGAGACTTATTGTTTTGTTACAAAATTTTGAGTCATATAATTTTTATTTAAGTAAGAGTTAAATTTTGTGTGATTGAAATCTTGAATGTGATAGATTTGATTTGAAAAAGTTAAAAGGTAAAATTGATAATAAAAAATTAAAAGCAAAAAAAAAAAAAAAGACCAAAAGTATAATTAAATATTTACTAAATTAACTTATTTTTTATCTATATATTTTATGTATTTTTGTATTTGGCTAGTGAGAACTCTTGGAAGTGCAACAAAGCAAGTGGAAATGAAAATAATATATGTACACACACACAATGGGAAATTCTTCTTCATTATTTATAATTTTATATATATACTCCGTATTACTTTTTTACTTTTTTAATAAATAAATAGAAAATTTAAAGAAAATGAAAAAAAAATGGAGGACAGATGTCAAATCAAGAAGAGCATATTAAAGCATATCCACCCATTCTCTACCTCTTTCACTTTTTAACTCTCCCATTAATGCCCCACTCCTAATGTCTTCTTTTATTTATTTGTATTTTTATTTATTTTATTTATATTTTGCTTTTTGGTGAACATAATTAGATTACTTTATAATGGCCCATGACTATCATGCTACCAAATGCTCCAATTAAGCATTGTCTTGTCCTCAAATAGATAACATATTTCTTGGATAACTTAGAATATATGCTAGGCTTGCTTGCTATTTAATTTACTACTTTCTTATTATATTGGAATAAATCTTTAACAAATTAAACAACCATTTTTAAACTCATTGCATCATAAAAAGTACGGAGTAGTAGTAACTGAATAGTAGTGTTAGAATGTGATTGTTGAACTTAGGGTCCGTTTGGAAAGCAGGAAAATGACTTCTGGAAAATGAGTCATTTTCCAAAAGTCATTTTCCTTTCCTGTGTTTGGCTGCACAACGGAAAACTGTCTTTTCGTGTTTGGTTCATTTTTTAGAAAATGAATAGAAAAATGATCAAAATTGTATACTTCAATTAATTTTATTTCTTCAATTACTTTTTACTTTTTATATCCTTTGATAAATTTATTTTTTAAATTTTATACCCAGATATGTTCTTCTACTACTTCTTCTTCTTCTTCCTTGACTTAGCTTGCAATTCATAAAAATAGAGTAATTCAATCAAAACAAATAAGCACATAAATCCAAAACAATCACTTCCATTTCTACACAAATTAGAGGAATTGAATTCAAAAAAAACAAAAAAAAAAAAACAAAAAAAAAAAATACCAGATACTGGTTTCCGGCTGCGAGCCGGAAACCAGTTCTCACAGGTTTCCGATGCGGAAACCTCTCTGGTTTCCACATCGGAAACCAGAGAACTGGTTTCCGACTGTGGAAACCAGATCTCTGGTTTCCGCAGTTCGGAAACCAGTCCCATTGGTTTCCGATGCGGAAACCTCTCTGGTTTCCGATGAGACTTCCCATTTCCCTTCGCGATCTCTGTCACGATTCCAGGTTTCGATGACTCAGCGGCTATTTTTCTGGTGATGGATTTGTTGGTTTGGAGCTTGTTCTTGCGTTGATGGAGACGTGGAGATGACAAATATTGCGTTGAATGAAGATGGAAAATGACTTCCCCAAAAAAAAAAGGGGAAGTCATTTTCCGGAAAAGTGAGGTGATTTTCCATTGACTTTGGGTTATTTTCTTTTGACTCCTATTTTCCTTGCCTAGCCAAACACCAAAAACTCGGAAAATGATTTCCAGAAATCATTTTCCAGGTTTCCAAACACACCCTTAGTGCACAATGCTACACCCTTTCTTCTATAACCCAAAAAAAAAAAAAACAAAAAGAAACAAAAAAAAAAAAGGTAGAAGAAAGATATATGCTATATTACACATGAACAAAATTTACCAAGTGTATTCCTTCAAATAGTGGATGCGGATTTTCATCGTCACCCAATAAAAGTGATACATCACCAACCTATAATATTTCAAATACAATGGGTCAGTTAATTTACGAATAGTTAATAAATATAGATGATAGTGACACTTACAAATAGTAGTCATACTATTTTAAATTCATTTAAACAAAATTTACTATATATAAAATAAATGGTTGGCCAAGTTTTCTCGCCCAAACTCAAGGTTATTTAAGTAATATCAAACATTTGGACAAAAATGTCATTAAAATTAGTAATTAGTAATTAAAAACTTGAAGTAATTAATTAAATACAATCGAAACGTAACTATGATTACTGTTGACTCAAGATGATGTTTTGTCAAATTATGTGCAAAATGTGCAAAAAGGGAATCCAGTTCCATAAAGGAATACTAATCCTAAAAAGGCAGTAGTCATTAAAGAAATCTATTTCCACTGGGACTAAGTTATTAAAACATATCTAGTCCTGGTTTAATTAGGATTAACATTAAACTACTAGGCATGGCCACAATAAATATGGGATGTCTTTCAATGCATAATTAAGCTTTCAAGATCAAATTGTGAGGTACGAGAGTCATTGAGAAGAGATACCAAAATCCCCTTGAAAAGTAGTACATGTGTTTAGGTCACAATAGTCCGATAGGAAAGATCATTCTATTGTGTAATCTCCGATTCCAAACAGTGTACTTTAAATATTAAGCTTTTAGTGGATTTAGGCAAATTCTCAACTTGAGAAGTGCCTCGCAGATTAGGGTTGTTTGCCTGAACTGCGTTATAAATCGTTTGTGTTACAACGTCAGTTTTAATATTACTGCGTGTTGCGCATATATATATATATATATATATATATATATATATATATATATATATATATATATATATATATATATATATATATATATATCAATTGGTATCAAAGCCAAACTGCTTAAGTTACTAGCAGGATCCTAATGGAATTTCCAAGAGAAGGACTATCAAACAACAGACCACCAGCCCTGATTGGCACAAATTTTTCCTATTGGAAAGCCAGAATGCATATATACATCCTGGCACAATGAGAAGGTGTCTAGAACGCTATAGAAAACGAATGGAAAACTCCAGTTGATGATAAAAGAAATAGAAAACCTAAAATTGACTGGAGTGAAGAAGAAAGAACAGAATATGACTTCAACTCGAAGGCAATGAATGCAATCTATGGAGCTGTGAGTGAAGATACCTCCAAACTGATTGCTACCACTCGCATAGCCAAAACTGTGTGGAGTATATTATGTGATCATCATGAAGGGAACACGTCTGTAAGATAATCCAAATTACAGATGATACAGACAGAGGCCAAAACTGTGTGGAGTATATTATGTGATCACCATGAAGGGAACACGTCTGTAAGACAATCCAAATTACAGATGATACAGACAGAGTTTGAAAACTTGAAAATGGAAGAAGAAGAAAATATCACACAATTTAGTGCTAGAGTTTTAAGCATCCCTGGAGATGCATCCAATCTAGGCGAACCTATACCTGAACATAGGCTCGTCAAAAAGGTACTACGTTCCCTACCTGGAAGATTCCTGATAAAAGTTACAGCAATTCAAGAGAACAAAGATCTGAATACCTACAAACTTAGTGATCTAATGGGAAACCTTCAACCTATGAGCTTGAGATATTACAAAACCAGAAAAATAATGGCAAAGGAATAGCACTACAATCTAAACAAGAAGAGAGCTTAGAATTTGATACTGAAACCATGGAACAGTCAATCGCGCTATTGACAAAGAATTTCAATCTAGTTCTCAAAAAGTTCAACAAATTCAGAAATAAAAACCCCTCGAATGGCCAAGGAAATTCCACAGTCAATCAAAAATTACCAGGTACGAAAAGAAGAGACAGTTTATCTACAGAGGGAATACAGTGCTATGAGTGCAGAGGGTTTGGACACATCCAATCAGAATGTGCAACATACCTAAAAAAAAAGAACAAGACATACATGACAACATTAAGTGATGACTCAGATAGTGAAGAAGACACCAACACCAATTTCGTAGCATTTACCGCAAATCATGAAAGTGACAACGGAGAAGATACGCAAGAATTACTAGAGGCATATACTCAACTACATGCCAAATGGGAACAAATCATCAAAATAAATCTAGAACTCATGGAAGAAAATCAGTTTCTAAAAGATGAAAAAGACAGAGGAGAAAAACAGTTCAAGGAAGCTCAAAATGAATTATTAGATTCCAAAAACAGAGAGACCAAACTGCTACAGGAAATCAAGGTGCACTGAAATGCCTAGATCTCCAATCTCAGCCTCCAGTGAGAGTCACCAAACTGAAAATCCTGAAGTGTCGCAACATCACTTTCAACATCGAAGAAGGATCAGATGCTATTATTGTCACAGATTGGGACATATAAAAGCATACTGCTACAAGAGACAAAATGATCTCTATTACAGTCAAAACAACAGAGATTGGCCATCACAAAATATAAATAATAGCAAGAAAATCTGGGTAAGAAAAGATCAAAATGTTGCATATACCTCTAAAACAAGCAAATGACAAAATATATGGTATTTTGATAGCGGATGCTCAAGGCATATGACTGGAAACCCAGAAAATCTAGAAAACATTCAGTATAAAAGTGAAGGGTACGTTACCTTTGGAGATGGAGGAAAAGACAAGATTACTGCAAGCGGGGTTTTGAATGTACATGGGCTACCTAGATTGCCAAAAGTCTTCTTAGTGCAAGGACTAAAAGCAAACTTGATTAGTATAAGCCAGCAATGTAACACCCCCTAATTTCCATGCTATTTAAAGCCTTAAACATGCAGATATCTAAACCAAAACATCAAACATAGCGGAAGACTGAAAGAGGAAATATATAAACTGGAAGTATAGGGGTGCTATGTCACGCTCACTCAAGAGTGAACGCACATGCTAACATCTGCATTGTTCAAAATCTAAAACCAAACATCATCAAGTACTAACTCAAAATTGGCTCACAGGCCACAAAACATAAGGGAGGAGCTACTCTAGCTGGCACTAAACCGCGCACTCGTCTAAGCATCACCTGAAAGAAGCATATAAAACATGGGACGACACCCGGTCAGCGAATAATGCTGGTAACCCACCAATACATGTGAAATATCATACATAGGTAAGATATAAGTTTGTAAAGCCATTTTCGAAACGGAATACATATATATAAGTCCAAAACCAAGAGTAATAGTCAACACAAGACTCAAACACTCTCAACAAGAACACGGGAACACATCCCAAGACTACAAAGAACAACAATGACTCACAAGAAGTCTCAAGACATAATCTATCGTCACACAATAGATTAATACCCGACATGCATAACTCAAAGGAATAAAGACACACCAAACGG